CCCTTTGGATAAAAGCCCTGGCTGACTCGGTTGATGGCACGTCTCTGTGTGTGCATCAGCTCTTTGTGGCAGAAGAGCTGTGTTACACCCCCCCAAGCAGGAAAGGGTGTGTGTGTGTGTGTGTGTGTGTGTGTGTGTGTGTGGTGCAAAAGTGGTTGTTGGACCAGCGGTTGGACAGCCTGTCTCTTTTCGCTGGGTGTGTGCTGTTGAGATTTTATGATGTATCTGAGCCTCCTCTTGACAGCACAGTGCCAAACCCTGCTGGTCTGCAGACACTATAACGAGAACGCGCCGCACTGCGGCGATCCCTTAAACGAGAAGGGTCCTTCTCAGTTCCTGGGGGTTTTCCTGCTTGAGAAAGTGTTGCTGTTGCCGTCTCTGAAAGAGGCCTGCAGAAACGAGCGGGATGTCACTTTCTTTTTTGCGAGCTGACCAGATTGCGGCAGCGGGAGTTTTAATAAAAGAAACACGCCTCGCAATCCAATTGATCAACACGCTCTTTTACAAGTGACCCTCCCAGAAAAAGATGCTGCTTTTAGGTCTTTGTCTCTGTGAGCCACGTGCTGTGAGACGCGGCCCAGACTGCCCGAGGTGTTGTGTTCATGATGCCGGTGCTGTTAGTTGGTTTATTCGTAGTTCCAGTGCCTCCGCAGAGTCCAGACGCGTTTGAAGCTGCAGGGCTGAGCTGGTCTGTCCTGCAGAAGTCCAGCCACAGCACGAGCAGCTGCTTTCGGCAGCTCTGTGGAGCCACCCCGGGCTGCTCAGTGGAAGAACACGAGGAGACTCTCGCGCAATGCGCAGCATGTCAGCTGCTCGCTGTGGTTAGCCTCAGCAGCCAGATATCTCACACCTTCTCCATGTCCATTAAAGGCCTTTTGCATGGGAGAATCCCTGTCCCAGAAGTGCTAGCACATCACTGTGCATCCCACGTTTTAGTCCATCTCCGTCATTTCTGTGCTCCTCTATCGCTCCATTGCCTTGGTTTCCAGTTCCGAGTGGGCAGCGGTGCTGTTGATGCAGCGGGTCGGGGTTGACTGCTATGGCAGCGCACTGGGAGGGGAATTGGACCACTGGACCACCTCCTTCAGACAGGAGGGGTTTCCTTACTGAGGTGTGCAATTCCTGTGAAGTACAAAGATGGCTCTCTAACAACAAAAGACCTAAAGAAGGTTTTTATACAGAGTCTTCATTACAGCAGCCGTGGAAGACGGGCTGCAGGTCGGGAGGACTTCACAAAGCCTCCTGTTGGAATC